TCATTTGTACGATTGTGCCAAAAAGTAGCAAGAAATATTCAGTACATGCCAACATTTTTATTTTTTCCCCTAATTACATGCCTTGGTATGTAGAGAGATAGATTTACCAAATATTTTGCTGTTGAATATCAATGATTACCCAGTCTCCAGACTGCAAAATATCTTCCTAAGATCCTTCCTCCCCTATTTGGCCAGTTTTGTATTTTAGGTTATGTTACTTACAGCACTTGTACTGCCAGATACAAAAATCCCTATCAGATAGGAAGGCACTTTCCTAAAAGCAATAGGAAAATGTGGCTTAGCACATAGAGACTTATGCATCTCAGGCAAAAAGTCTAGGAGTAGGAAGGCTCTTCATATCTTTCCACGTCGTCATCCATTGTGCGTAGGTCTTAATCCTCATGGTGATCACGCCATGGTCCCAGCATAGCTAGTGCATCTTCAGGACTCACGTGCACATTCCAGATGGGATAAAGAAGGCAAGAACCATGAGGTGTACAGGATGAAAGGAAAGTTATCCCAGCCAAGTTTTCCTTGTCCTAAGTCCTGAGAGCCCCTCTCAGAGATTTCTGCTTACATCTCATTGGCCATAAGTGGACCATAGATTGAAAAAGAATCTAGCAAGTAAGCATTTTTATTTATTCAGCGTTCAATTTATGAAAGACAAACAAGAGACTAGCTATTGGGCAGACAAATGGCAGTGCCTGACAAGTATTCTGCTATTATAAAGAATAAAGATATATATATATATACTTTAGTATATATATATATACTTAGGTATACTTAAGAAAAGATAGTCACTAAATACTGTTGCAGTTGAAAAAGCAACTTGCAGAAGAATATGCATATGAGTCCATTATTACAAAACAAAAACCAAAAAAAGCAAAACTATTTATGTTTGTATGTACATAGAAATATGGAAATTATGGAAATGTACATGGAAATATTTGGGGAAAGTTATGCCCTAAACAGGAATACAGCTAATAATACAGTGAAAGTTATATTACAGATAATAAATAAGGATTACATTTAATAATTATAGCAAACACATACACAATATCTACTATATTAAATATTGCCAGGCACTGTTGTATTGAGCAAACATTAATTCATTTTATCTTCATAATCACTTATAAGGTTTTATTAATGTTACCCTTAATTTACAGATAAGGGAGTTGACACAAAAAGAGTTAAATAACTTGTCCAAGGCCACAGATCTAATAAATATTAGAGGTGCAGTTTACACCCAGAAAGTCTAGTCCACAGTTATTTGCCCGAGGTGGTGAAAAAGTTTGAGAGTGTAGAGAAATGGAACCTGGCATTCCAATGTCTATAGAAATAACTAATAGTTAGGTTGTTTTGAAGATCCCAAGGAGCTTCCACATACAGCTGCTCATTTAATTCAGTCTTCCTGATGACACTATGATGGTTTTCATTCCTATTCTACAGATGAGGAAACTGAGCCTCCGTGAGGATAACTAACTTGTCCACCATGTTCTTGCTGCTAAGAGTGGTAGAGCTGATACTAAGTCTGATTATTCTTTCCCCAGACTGCAGCCACCTCCTTTTATGTAAACTTCCTCTGTCAGGAATTTCCACATATGTTACCAATGAAATCTGTGCCTAGAATAGTGAAAATTGATGATCACTGCTGGAAGAATGAAGCTTAAGAGTGAAAGAAATAGAGGATAGGAAAGGCATGCCATTTACACACAACTGTTTCATGCACAGTGGCATATTTTTTTTTAGATTTTATTTATTTATTTGAGAGAGAGAGAGTGTGAGCAAAGGTGGGGGGATAGGCTCCCCACTGAGCAGGGAGCCCAACATGTGGCTCCATCCCAGGACTCCAGGATCATGACCTGTGCCAAAGGCAGCCGCTTAACCAACTGAGCCACCCAGGCGCCCCCTCAGTGAAGTATTTTGATTAAAACCATCTAAATAGCCTTTGGGCCTGTCTCACTTTAATTTTGACATAGTCTTGTAGTTTATGCTGCTAGAAAATATTCATTTCTAAAACCCTATTTTTCCATTTTTCCTAAATACTTAGCTCCTTTGTTGCTGTATCTAGAAAGAAAAGGCTATTATAGCTGACTGCTGATTTGGGGGATCTACGTTAGTAATAGTCATGTGTTACAAATAGTTTTATAAAACATAGTATAGCTAAAAGATGCAAGTTTTAAAGGTAGAGAAGGATCTTATAAAAATAAAGCTTGTGCCCATAGTGCATTGTGAAGAGTTTGTTGGTTTAAGAAAGGCAAATATGGAAAGTGTTTAGGGATCGGACCATGAAATGATGCAAGACAGGCCTTTGTTTCTGCAGGACACTTGCGTCAAAAGAGCAAACAAAGGTATCTCATAAGGTTGCTCAACTTCAAATTCTCTGAGAAGACTTTTATACCTGAAGGGAGAAGTTTCCGAAGATGAATATCTTGACTGACGCTTGATTTCCACCACTGTGACCCCTAACTTGGTTCTGAACACATTGTGGAGCCACATTAGAAAATCTAAGCAGTTTTTAATTGATAAAATCTGATGTTGGACATTTAAAGTGCAGTAACTGGAAAATCTGTGAAATATGTTGAATTGACATAGTAATTGAGTCCTGGAATTCAGAACTAACAGGAACCTGAGAATGTATTTTAGGGATATTTCTTTGCCAATGCTTAGGAAAGACTCCTTTCTCCTTGCTAGGCCCCCAAATCATTGACAGATTATTTTATAAGGCACAAAATTTTAGAACTTGGAAAAGCAGGTATCAGTCAACACAGTTTTTCAACAGGGTCCCTTTTATTTTCAAGGTGTTAGGTAATAACTGGATACTATCTGAACTGGTTTCTCAGCTCTCTACTAGTGAGGTTTCTTTCTATGAGCTAATTCATATGTCCCAGAAGAAAAGAACACCCAGCGTTCCCCGCCTCTGCCCTGTCAAGTAGACTCACAAAGGTCAAGTTGTATATACAACCTGCTCACTGCACCTCTCCTCCTTAGTGACCTGCCGTCCCCTTTTAGATCCCAAATAATTCATAGGAGAGATGCTTCACTGTAACTTTTCCTTTCGAATTTGGGGTGCTAAGAGGCAGGCTTCTTCTACTTTCCAGTAAAAACATTAGCAAGCATCCCAAAATTCTCATAACATCTCAAAACATAACTCAAGATATGAAAGCTGCAGACCACCTCATGCATTCCTTCTCTCTCCTTGCAGAGATTTTCTCTTCTTATAGAACTTACATAGATCATTTCTTTGTCTCAAGCCTCATAAAACTGTGTGCTCTCAGATGCCATTTGCCAAATCCATCTTCTTTCCTGACGAAGGAAGAATAGCTACTGGGAAATGGTCTGGAAGCATATTCACCTGCAAGTCAGGATTGCTTAAAGACCCATCTAGGGCACCTTTCAAACTAATGCTGGAAATATCTTCACAGCATCCTCCACAGATGTTTGATTATGGAACCTCTGCCTGAACTCCTGGGATGAGCGGGCCAGGGAGAGAGGAGTACTCATTACTTCTGAAGTGTCTCTTCACGCTCTAGGAGCAGTCTCTTTACGTTGAGCCATTACGTTGAACCCTCTACTGTAACAATTCTCCAGTTGTCTTAGCCTTGTTTCTGGAGTCAGCTGAGAGAATATCTTCTCTTTATTTCCATTTCCATACACTGTGATCTGTGTACTTTTTTTTCTATACCGACTCTTTATAAGCCCTTTTGTAAAGCTCTACATTCTCAGGAGGTGGTGTCAGCATTGAAGATGTCTCACCTATCAGTTACTAGAATCACATTAGCTTTAAAGGAAATAAAATTACTTCTGCTACAGCAGACACTAAGATGAACATGAAGTTTGCAATGACTTCAAACTTGAAGAAAATTCATTTACACACACACACGCACACTGCCCTACTATCTATCACTGCTCTGATTTCATCTGTGACCTAGTTTGTGGCTTCCAAAATTTTACATTGCTGTGGGAAGCTCATTCTTGAAGACATTTAGCTTTCTCACATTATACTTTATATAAAACCTCGGCTATGTGTGAAGCTTCTCATTTATCACTGTGATTTTTTTAAATTGAAATTTTCTGTTTGGCAGTTCAGGAATTTTGAAATAACAAAATATGCATGATATTGAAGATGGGCCATGAAAAGTCCTGGTTGACATGTATTCAACCCTCATGGATTCAGATTGTGAACTGAAAGAAAAATCCCACTCATGTGCAACTGTTTTCCATTTCATTGAGGCTTGCATATTACTCACTGAGAAAGAAGGGCAATTATTTTTTTAACTTAAATTCAATTAGCCAGCATGTAGTACATCATTAGTTTCAGGTGTAGTGTTCAGTGATTCATCAGTTGCATATAACACCCTGTGCTCATCACATCACGTGTCCTCCTTAATGCCTATCACCCGGTTACCCAACCCCCTCCGACCTCCCCTCTAGCAACCTTCAGTTTGTTTCCTAGAGTTAGGAGTCTCTCATGGTTTTTCTTCCCTTTGAAGACTTCCCATTCAGTTTTCCCTCCCTTCCCCTATGATCCTTTGCGCTGTTTCTTATATTTCACATATGAGGGAGGAGGGGCAATTATTTTTAATAATAGGGGCAAAATGGGAAGGCATTCCACTTACTAATTAAAAATCATCCCTTGATTTAAAAGCAAATGTATCCAGAAGAATTTCTGAGCTGATTTTAATACATTTTTATCTCCAGCCTGAAGACCAGGTTTATAGCTTAATATAGTAACAAAGGGATGTTTTAAAAACAAGCATGACAATCAAGTGTCGTTCAATTGACTTGTCAGAAGTATCTATTCTCATGTCCCTTGTTGCTCATAGTCTCATAGAATTCCAACCTTAGGGCAAACTACCACACATTTTTTCCTAAGAACATACTCTGAAGACACTCTATGCCTTTTTTCTTGCTAACAGCAATCCAACAGTGTTTGTAATGATGGAACAAGAAACCACAGCAGAATGTCTCACTTGTACACACATGTTTTTATTTAACAGAAAAGATGACTCCACAGGCTGGGGCTTCTGCCACTGAGACCCTAACTCAGGAGGAGCATCAGATGCAGAGAATGATGGCAAAGCGTTCGAAAATCATCAAGGAGCTGATACAGACGGAAAGAGACTACCTCAATGATCTTGAGCTGTGCATTAGGGAAGTGGTTCAGCCCTTGAGAAATAAACAGGTAAATGTAACTTGGAGGGTCCCCCCCCCAACCATATCCTAAATAAGATCACCAGCGCCATGAAATCAAATCATCCAAGTGGTAGTATCTGCTGCAGGGAGGGTGGAGGGATGGGCCCTCTTCCTTGAGGCCTGGTCTGCGGTGATGGAAGGTAGCATCAGATTCATATTTCCAGTGTCAGCAGAGGGACACCCAGAGTCCCTCCATTTGGCCAAGAAAACTGTATTCCAAAATATGGGGAAAAGGAAGTTCACAGTTTCTGCCACTTTGAAATTTCTATGGGTTCTTTCTTGGATTCTTATGGAACTGTGAGCAATAGGCTTTCAGCCGCTTAGGAGCAAAGCACTTAATTTGATTCAAAGATGATCAAAGATTTTGAAGAAAAAAAATGTGTTTCTCCCCCCCCCACATTGAGAGATCAATTAAACTTCAGATTATTCAGCCAAGTAAAATTCAACATAGAAATGAACCTGAATGTAAGGTAACACTTGAAGTGTTCATAAGCTAATCATTCTCCTCCTTTTTAATCAAGGCCTTTTCAGAGACTTTCCTGTGAGGAGTTAGAGTATATTTGATTCATATATATGTGCATGTATTAAGTACCTGATATTGTAATTGGCACCGTTCCCAGCTCTGGGTTACAGTACAAAACAGTTCAGTACAAAACAAAGTCCTGCCCTTATGGGGTTTACTTTCTAGTGGGAGAGAGGAAGAGTCAGACAATAACTAATAAATTAATAAACAAATATAAATTAAAACATATTAGATGGTGGCAAGTATAGCAGAGAAAACCAAAGTAGGGATGAGGGATGGAGCATGGCCCAGAGAGGTGATGTTTCTATTTCAAATACGGTATAGTAAATGCAGACCCTTCCAATGGGGGACACTACAGCCAAGAACTGAAAGGGGTAAAAGGTGTTCCAGGCTGAGGGGAGAATGACCCTGAGGAGCGATAGCCTAATCACTAGGGTGGTAAACAGTCCTCACACACAATTGAAACAATACACGAAAGCATAAACTAGAAAGTAAAGATGATCAGAATTCGCCTGCTTAAAGATAGTCACCATTCACATGGTTGGGAAACATCCTTGCAGGCATCAGTTGGGACATTCACACACACACACACACACACACACACACACAAACTCATATATATTTTGAACATATATTTTTACATAAATGTAATCAAAACTACACATGCCATTTTATAACATAATCGTTTCATTCAGCAATCTGTTGGATGTTTCTTTTCATGACTACTGACACATACAGATGTTTTTCTACTGTTACTGATGCATAGACACTCTTATGGTTTGGGTATTGTCACCTCATCTCCTTAAAATAAATTCCTAGAAGTGGAATTGCTAGATCAAAGGGTGTACATATTAAGGATTTTGATAAACATTTGCCAGCTGAAAACCAAAAAGTTGATACCATTCTAATTTTCATTCTCATTAACAGTGCTTGAGAAGTCAAAATACCTTTTTGTATATTCATTAGCCATTTCTTTTCTCTTCAATCCCTATTCATATTCATGTCTCTTGCCCTTTTAAAAAGATATGGTTTATCTTTTTCTTATTGTTTTACAAAACCTCTTTATATATTAGGGGTATTCTTTTTTCATCCCACATGTTACAACTAATTTTCTCAGTTTGTCTTTTGCCTCCTAATAAGATAAAAACAAAGAGGGAGGCAAACCATAAGAGACTCTTAACTATAGAGAACAAACTGAGGGTTGCTGGAGGGGAGGTGGGTTGGGGGGATGGGGTAACTGGGTGATGGACATTAAGGAGGGCACTGAGTGTTCTATGCAACTGATGAATCACTAACTCTACCCCTGAAACTAATAATACACTATGTGTTAACTAAATTGAATTTAATTTTTTTTTTAAAATAACCTTATTTAAGGTTAAAAAGTTAAACCTTGTTTAAGGTTTATGCATTTGATTTTTCCATGTTTAAGTGACCAAATATATTTAACTTTATGGCTTCTGGGTTTGGCATCTTAATACATACATACATTTTGATTACAAAAATATTGTCAGCCAGTTGTCCCACCTTCAATTATTACATCTTTCCCCCAGTACTTAAAATATCCAGAAGCAGAGTTTATGTTCTTAACACAGGATTCCTCTAAGAAATACTAGGAAAAATAACTGGCCTACAAATTAGGGAAAACCAGTGTAGATCAAGGTGACCTTAGATATAAATGTTGGGTTTGGTTTTGGTTTTGGTTTAAGACAATGTATAAAGAAAAGTGGCAAAGCAGACTTTGAATTCTTCCTTCATACCAGGTCACTTTTAGTTTTACTTCTTCACGACTTTCAATAGGTAATTACTATTGGTCAGGTCCATTCCAAAGGCTTCACTGGTCTTCATATTTAATCCTCTCCTGGTTTTCAAGTTGGAGGGTAACTGGCCCCTTTCTGAATCTGGAAATTTCTTATTCATCCTGTAGGATTAAGAATAACATTAATGGTCATGATAGAAAGTTGCTCTCTGGGTTCATTGCTAAATATATAAAAATATTTTTGGTGTTTTTCATTTAATATAAACTAGTTGTGTCTGATGTAACCTCGGTTCTGGCAGATACTAATGGTTATTGATAAAATGTTTATTTACATACTTATGAAAATATTAATTTTAAATACACATAGCATCAGACTCCAGACTCGACCACAACCTACCCTCCCTTATGGGGAGGTTTTACCAGTCACTCCTATTTTCTGAAAAATTTAGAACCTTGTCCACTGCTCCATACCTTCTCCCTCTCTCCAGGTCCAACATCGATGTCAGGTCATTTCAATAATCAGGCAAATGGCCCGCGCAACCTCCAGGCCTCTCCACCAGGTCCTTGACTTGCTGGCATCCTGAGATCTTTCCTTCAACCCCATCTTAGCCCCTCACTCCAGGCACCACTCCCTAGGGCTGTCATTCTATTTCTTCACCCCCTCAAAATCAGAATTTCAGGCTTACCATTCTCTAGCCTCCACATCCTGTCTTCTAGCCCACTCCCACTGGTTTCCTCTCCCTGACAGGTTTTGGATGCCACCAGGGCTAAGGTCCTTTCTCATCATTTCATTGAGAAAACAGACACAATAAGAAGATGCACTCCCCCAACACCACACCTACCAACATACCTGCATCTCTACCCATGTCAGCTGTCTAATGGTTCTGCTTCTAATTAAGGGCAACTTTTCTTCTAATGCCATGGATTCTATCCCCTCAGGCTTCTTCAAGGATTTCATTCCTGCCAGTGTCCTTTCTTCCTCCTGTGTATTGATTTTACCATCCTTATTGGATCAATCTCATCACCATTACCTGCTATCTTAAAAAAAAGCAAAAACTCTCTCTTGTCTATATTCTCTTTCCCTGTTAAAGTTGGATGTGAAATATTTAATATGTATAAAACCATATGTGACTAAGACATTTCAAAATAAGCACAGTTTACCAGAAGCCTGCCCTTGTGATGAGTTAATGATCAGTATTAAAAAAGACAGTATGGGGCGCCTGGGCAGCTCAGTCAGTTAAGCACCTGGCTCTTGATTCCGGCTCAGGTCACGATCCTGAGCCCCGGGTTGGCTCCATGCCGGGCGTGGAGCCTGCTTAAGATTCTCTTTCTCCCTCTCCCTCTGCCCCTCCCCCACATCATGCATGCTTTCTAAAGAGCACATTTTTGTATCAAATGGAATAAGAAGTTTATTCAGTATGCAAATGTTCTCAATTTTAAACTGTCTACCACACTGGTGAGTTAAACTGGCCCCATCAATATACATGCCATTGCTGAGCTATAATCTCACATATGCACTCTGATCATTGTTTTTGTTTTTGCTTTCATTGTTTTTCTTATTTTTTGCTTCCTATGTAACTCTTATGAGCAAATCTCAGAATTGGTATTTCAGACCGTGTAAAATAAAACATTTCCATCATGGTAACATGTAGTTTATCTGGCATGTTTAACTTTTACTCTCAATACTTTGAATTACCGTTCTCACACTTCTAACTCCTATTTCCCTTGTTGTTCTATTTAGATGGTTTATAGCTTGTTGGTTTTTCACATCTGGCACTTCTCTTTGCTGAGATCTTTCAGTGCTCTCTGTCTGCCTCCTTGTGGAATCCGGTTTCAGTCTACTGGTCTACTTGTCCTCCCCACTCATGTTGAAATAGTAGTTATTCAGAGCTTTCTCAGAGTTGTCTTATCCAATCCACCTTTCCCCCACTTCTTAATGCTTTTAACCTTGACTAAGTAAATAGATGCTCAGGAACCCAGACGAAACATTTATGAGTGCCAAGGTAGTCAATTTATGCCATGAATTTATTACTTTACCTTTCAAAGTTCATTAGCTCCTTTTTGTCTTTACTTCCCTTCTGTTTAAATACCATTGTCTTTGCACACAGACCACCTGTCATCAGTTAGTGTCAAAATTTATAAATTAAATATAATGTTTATGTAACCATGGGAACTATCTGTAAACCATGCTTAGCTAAACCTGAGGCAACATCAGTAAATATTGTACATGTACAAGTTAGTCAGGAAGGGACTTCAGGAAGTCACCTGTTCCATGTCTTTTCTCTTGTTGAGAAGACAATCTTTGCTTCCATTGCTGAAAAAACTATCTTTGCTCTATTGTACTGCCTCCATGCCTTCTCTCGACACATCTGATTCATTCTTTTCAGTCCCAGAAGAAACAAGGTAGTATATGGAAGTTAAATTTGGAAGGAGGAAGTGGAAAACTGAGAAAAGCACTAGGTTACCCGAGGGTGCTTGCACGAATGAATCAGGGTACTAGTGAGTGTCTACACCCGGCCCTCGAGTTGGCAACTGTTCTGTAACAATCACGGTTACAAATCTTAACCATAACTTCAGGGCTTTTCTATAAACAAAACTTCACCTAACTGAAATCAGGGTCAAACCCGGCAGTTACATCTTCTTTAATAGCAGCATTGTGAGAGGTTTTGCAAAGAAGGCAAAAATTATCGACAACATTTGGTGTTGAAAC